AGACATTTTCGAAAAATTTGAGCGAATTGTTATAAAGTACATTATAAATCATAAAACTTTTTCTTAAAACTTGTATTTATATCTTTTACCACTTCAACAGTATTAGCTCAGAAATATAAGGGCGTATAAAAAAATACGTGCGTCTTCTTTTGACCTAGATTACGACATACTCAAAGCTTGTTAAAATCGGGGTGTAACACTTGGATAGGAAAAAGCAAGTCTAAAATGAAGAGATATGTAGAGAAGACCGGGATAAGATGTTATAATTAGTTTTTTAGTTGTCATAGGTGACAGTACATTTTTATGAATTTAACATTTTAACATTTTTATATGTTGTTCGTATGATATTCTACTTTATTTATAATTAGTTTAGCCACCATATTTGAACTTTAGAAGACGCTACGTACATTTTCTTGATTTTTACTATTAAAAATAAATATTTCATTGTACATGGTCTGTCCAAAAAATATCGGCACTACACTCACAAAAAAAATTTATTGCACATATATGTACAATTAAAAATCTTCAAAATAACATCCTTCTACATCAATACACCGTTGCTAGCGCTTCTGCCATACTTTCCCCCTGGAAGTCTGCAACCGGAATCTCTTTCGGGCACTGTGTTGAAGCTTGCACTCTTTCCATCGTCCCGTAATGGTGTCCTTTTAAACTTTGTTTCATCCGAAGGGAAAGAAAAAAGTCTGACGAGGTCAGGTCTGGACTATAGAGAAACTGAAGCAGCATTGCCACGCTGTGCTTCGCCAAAAACTCCCTTATGCGTAGCGACGTGTGATTCGGCGCATTGTCGTGATGGAGAATCCAGGTATCGGCGATCTCCCTATGAACGGGTGGCAAGAGTCTCACTGAATTTTTTCAGTTTCATGCAAATTGATTATTGATATCGCTGTTCAATCGTGCGTTGCATCTTGATTGCTGACGACACTACAAAACAACTGTTCACACTAGAAGCGATCCACACTCTCCAAAGACTCAGAGGCAAGTGAGCTTGTGTCGTATGTCTGACATCTTCCACATCCCTGCTCATGGGAACCCTTCTGCACCCTTGCCCTTGGCTAGAAAAAATCAGTCTTAATACTTTTTGAACAGACCATGTATAAATCACTTGTGTTATTGTATATATGTATAAGTTAGAGATATGTGATTATTTTTTGTTAGAGGTATGTAATTAATCCTTTTGTATATTTCTTTTATATATATTTGATTATAATAATATATTTTATTTGAATCGATATATGTATTGGTTTTCGATCTATATTTTCTCGAATTGAAAATGGAAGATTAGGGCAAGTTATTACACTTTGATTGAAGCAGGTTATTACATTGTAACACCCCATTAAAAACAATTTTTTTCTTCTACAAATTTCAATAAATAGACTATCTACTTCGTCTCCATGTTTGAAGACAATGCTGAGCAGTGCCATATTTGTGTTCACTCCATTCTCACATGTATGAATCACACGGATAATAACATTAGTGTTTTCACATAAATTTATGCAATATTCACAAACAGAATGCATGTATATGCATACGTGAATTAAAATAAGATCAGTTCAAAATCAGGTTCATCTCTTTCTATTGAGTCAGCAATCTAATTATAAAAGTCTGTGGAATGATGTAATTTACAAAAAAAAATACACAGAATCTATAAATGTAGAAAAGTATGCGACAGCGGCAAAAGAAGTTAAAGATGGCCACCTGTCTGTAAGAAAAGCAACAAATACGTTTAAAAGACATAGATACAAATTAGAAAAAAATTAACTATTTAGTAAAGATGTACTTGCAGATATTCATTAATTTAAATGTATATATTAGTAAAAAAAAATTGCTAATCAAAAATTGTAACAATTTGCCCCGGTCTCCTCTATCTGGTAATCGTTTAATATCACTTTGTTTGTTTAGTCCTGTTATCTTTTAATATGTATCATTTCCCGATTTCCGATATACCGATCTTCTCAGATATAAAGATTCATTATCTAAAATTTGAATATTCTTCCAATCGAATTTATAATCATTCAGAATAAAATATTCTTTTTTAAATATCAATCTTATATTTTCCAATAGATCGAGATTACCGCATTAACATTTCTGTTAAGCTATTTGTAGGTATCTAGCTTAAGTTAAATCCAACAAATATTTATTTTTCAAATTTTAATGACACTTTTCATTAATATTTCGATTTAAACTTTCGATTAATATTGTGTTTTTCTGTTTTCAGAGTCATATTTACTACCTCCAAAAACGATGTTGTATGTTAATATCTATGGAGTCCATAGAGATCCCAATTTTTGGCCAAATCCAGAGATATTTGATCCAGATAGATTTTTGCCTGAGAAGATCCGAAATCGTCATCCTTACTCATATTTACCATTCAGTGCTGGACCACGTAACTGCATCGGTAAATTGTTTAATGATATTCTTTTATACATAAACAAGTTTCAATACATATCAAATTGTAGGTCAACGATTTGCTATGCTGGAGATGAAGGTAATAATAGCCTCTCTGATTCATAATTTTTACTTGGAACCCTTTGATTATTTAAAAAATGTACGATTAGGAGCTGATTTGGTGATCCGACCTATTGATCCGCATCGCCTAACATTTATTCCAGTCGAAACATAAACATTAAAAGATATTTCATATTTTAAGAATTTAATGATGTATTGCAAAAATAAAGAAAATAATCATGTTTATAAATATATGCAAATAATAAGAATAAACATCTGTATAAATATTAAATTTAAATAGCAATATATAGATATTATAATATAAGTAAGTCTGTCTAAATTTATTAAGTGATAAGATCTTTTAATATTATATTATACTGTTCAAAATAAAGCGTTACAAATTTTTATCTCGAAAACATGACATTATTGAGAGAAATTGTTCAGACAAAAGTTGTAGAGTTCTAAAAAGGTCTACTTATTGATCTTATCAGATTGATCTTGAATGGCGTCGCCAAGATCAAGTCAAGATCACATTGAATTTTTTAAATAGAACACCTTACTTTTGTTTCCAGAATCTAATAGCTGATGTTGAGAGCTTTCCAAAACGCTACAAGAAAATATTTTTTCATTAAGTACTTTCCGAGTTATAATGCTTGAAGTTTACAGTATCATTGCGATTCCATTAAAAAAAATCGATGTAACTTTGACCTGACCTTGACGATGCCACTCAAGGTCAAACTGATAAGATTAATAAGTAGATCTTTTTGTTACGTCCAAACTCCTCGCGCATGCGGAGTTGAGGGGGTGAACGTAACGAGGAACCGAATTGTTAGACCGATTTGGTCGCGTCCGGGCTCCGGACCGCAAGGGAGCCGTGGGGAAGGACCGACGCAAATCGGGAGGCGCTTCGCTTCGTCCTTAGGCTCCTAACGAGCCGGGAGTCGAACGGAGGACGAAGCGGAATCCTCTGCTCGTGCTCCGCTAAACGGACACACGAGTCGGACGTACTTCGAGAAAGGGCCCAAACTGGGTCAGTGTGCCGAGAGGGGGCGCACTTTAACGCCAGCTGTGCCAGTACGGCCGTATGCCTTGGCTTTCGGTCATGGAACTTAATCCGAGTGACCGGGGAGAAGGCTAAGTGCAATTTCGGGCGAGCTTAAGAATACGAGGAGGGGTTTGGTTTAAATAAATTACCGGGAAGTAAGTTTTACAATGATATAATAAAAAAACTGTAGTGATACATTTTGAATAAAATATAAATATAATTTTGTCAGGTTAAAACAATTTTCGGTTTTAAATGTACACGTTTATCGATGTGTGAGAGTGTGTGTGAAGTATCATAGCAGAATGGAAAGGAGGAGTTACGGAGAGAATAGCGGGAGGATAAAAAGAGAAGGAGGTTTTGGTGAGTGGATTTGAGAGGATTTGGCCTAATTTTCCTCGGATGACGATAGTATTAGCGGACACGAACGACCGGTCGACAGGAGACGAACAATTATCGTGCGGCGACGGCGACAGATTGAAATTATAACGTGAACGCACTGCAATGTTTTCATTTTCTTATAGGAGATCAGAAGGGAGAAAGAAAGAAAGAAAAGAATAAAAATAAAATAAAACAAATGAAAAAAAAAAAAAAAAAATAAAATGAAATATTGAAATAAGTTACCAAAAAAATAAAGCGAGGAGGGAGCCAGAGAATAGAAATATACGAGTACTGACTTACTACAGAGATGCTTATCGTTGGAGATCCTCCGGCCAGGATGTGCAAGGCTGGTGATGTTTCTTTAACACTGACTCTATTGAAGAAAGAGGGCTTCGAAAAACGAATAGAACTTTTTGAGTATCGCGACAAACTCACTGACTCTATCCGTACGTTCTTCTATCTAACTGCCACGCTATATGTTCTCTAAAAAGACTTTCTGTAAAACTGACTGTGAACTGGGTGTCTATATCAAAACTGACTGTGAACTGACTGTAAACTGACTGGTGTCTATGTCAAAAACTGACGGTAAACTGACTCGGGGGTTGCGGAATCGCGATTTTTATACTAATCGCCGCAGATTACTCAAATTTGGATTGGTGGAATAGGTTTCGTTAGCTGGGAGTAGGATTTTCTTTCGCTCTTAGATTGGTCAAGTTTTTGGGGGAGGAAAGATGTTGACAGGAATCGATAGAGTGGGAAAGTGAAACTCCAAAATTTTATGACCCTAAGATTTATGGGGAAACGTACGTTTCGGGCGCCGAAATGTCGCGGACGCATCGTCGCCACGGGACCACCCAGAATCTACCCCTGAACGTCGCGTGCCGTTTCTTAAATTTTATAATTACGAATTCGCGAAAATCGTTCGCGACTTGATTGTTAATCTTGGCGTTAATCATTGATTTTTATCTCGGAGCGACATTCATGAGGAGATAACGGATTCTTAGTTTTTAAGATGAAAAATAAAAAGGATAGAATATAAAATTTTAGAGCTTCGAGGAATTCAAGATCTTTATGAAAGAAAAGAGTCGCGTGAGTCCGCCGGACGTAACATTTTTAAATACAACTTTTGTCTGAACAATTTCGCTCAATAATACTATATTTCCGAGATAAAAATTTGTAACGCTTTATTTTGGACATCTGGTATATACACATTTTTATAAAAAGGTTTAATAAGCATTTTATAACAAAAAATAAAATATATAATTAAGTAATTAATATTTATCAATGTTATACACATAATGTGTATATTATATGAACAATAATTAAGTTAATTTTTTATAAAAAGCATTGTAAAAGAAAGTGAACAGTATATTTTTTTTAAGATTACAATAAATATTATATACAAATATTATATACAGATTTATTACTTTGATGTAATATTTGAATTTTATGTCGCTGCTTTATTATTATATTACGATGAAGCCTATACAATGTCTCTTTAATCATTCAAAACGATAACCTTCCTTTATCAACGTTGCTCTTATAAACACAAAAATACAATAGATATAAGTATCTAATACATGTTGCTAAATTAAGAGTAAGATGTAAGAAAATTTATACTTTAGTTAAATAATCAATTAAATTTGCAATGCGTAAAAAATGTACGTGAATGTATGTGTCAATGTTTGAGTAATAAAAAACTATTAGCATATTTATAAAATTAAAAATATAAAGTTTAAAAATGTTACATAATTACTTAGTTCAAAACAATTCAAAAATATTTTTCATAGTACAACTGTTTCAGGTTGTAAGTATTGCTGAACAAGAAGAGAATCAATTAAAAAATTTTCTATTGCATCTATGGTTTACTTGATTGATATATTTTTTATTAGAATGAATGAATACATTATGACAAAGAAAGGGGGAAAACGTTTATAATTGGCTCCATTAAATTATCATTGTAGTTTGTATTGAACTTTCGCACTAAAGGAAGTTCAAATCCAGAGTCAAGAAACGTTTGTAAATAATTATCTTGGTAAGTACATTCAAATTAATATTAATATTGCAAGTTATATCTTATCGTATTATAAATCAGGATTGGCAACGTTACCTCATAAAAATAACTTGTTATCATTACTGTTCTTTTTCCTGAAAAGTAACTCATTATCATTACTCATTATTAATTTGTTAAAATAATTCGTTACCGTTACCGTCACTCATAATATAATGAATCGCTATTTTTTCGTTACTTTTTTTCTTGATACTAATAGAATATTATATAGCGTTTTTCATTGGCAGAACTTGTGCGAATTCAATGCACATTAAAGCAGTTATACACAACTCTAATCTAAATATAAAAATAAGATATCTAAGATGATAAAATGCCTAAAGTATATCAAATAACATAATAAAGTGTATTAAAGATTTCGCAGTTTAACTCGTTTCTATATTTTTATTAACCATACATCTTTACGTCGATTGTACAGCGGTTTTAAGTGCACTGAATGCGTATTAGTTCTGTTAATGAAAAACGCTAATATATGCAGATTCTTGCAGTAACTATAAAAATGGATGGAACAATTCTGTTTTTAGTAGAAGAAAAAACTAAACGACTGATAAATATGTATATCTACACATACGTTCTAGTTATGATTAAAACTTTTACGTAAATAGACATAAAGTAACGATAAAAGTAACTAGTGAAATCGTTATCGTTACCACACAAATTTAATTGCGTTAACATTATTCAGGAGAAAATGTAACATCGTTACTCGAACGTTACCAATAAAAGTAATTTATAACGGTAACGTTACTTGCCACACACAATTCTCTGTTATAAATATATTATTAATTTAGATAAAATTAATATAGACTCTTCAACATTATAACAAAATAATAAACAAATATATGGAGAAATAGGAGTCAGCGCGGAGCCAAAATAAAAATGTAATGATAAAATAATCTTCATTAGCTTATGTATTCGTAAATAAATAACAATAAATAAAAGGCAAAGTAACAATCAATTTATTTCTTTAAAAAAATCACACAATTAAAAGAATAAATTGTAAAAAATTAGAAAAAAGTAAAATTAAAGAAAATATATAATAAAAAAAATAAAAAATAATAAAAAAAAACTCAGTTTAAATACATATAAATTACAAGTTTCGGCTAGCGGATTGAGCCCTTTTTAGACATTAATAGAAAAAATCGTAGTAGCAAATTAATTATCGCAATTGTTCGCATATTTATATTCACAGTTCGAGTGAGTCTTGACGTAGAACTCTACATTATTCATGTACGATTGAACGAATGTGTTTATCTATCTCTTAGAAAAAGAGATTCTAGTTAATAAAAAAGATAAATAGGATTCTTATGTATTCGTATCAGCTATTTGCACAAGCTATTTGCGTCAGTGCAATTGTAGAGTAAACATTACATTGCGTTACATTTTTCGACAGAAAAAACAGCTTTTGGATTATAATTACATACTAGGTATTAATAATTTAATGCGTTCGATTGTTTATAACGTATTGGATTGACTAATGAATGCGAATGAACGTAATGCATCAGTTTTGGTGAGTAACCATTAGATTCTGTTCTCTAAGTATATGACGGCCGCTTCTTTTAACAACATTATGTTTCATTTCTTAGTTTTACTTTACTTAGAGGAAAAGATTTCACGGAAGGTTCTGTGAAATCTTTTCCTCTGACCAATAAACTACTAAGAACGCTGGAATATTTTTGATAAGATAAATTCTTTCTTTCTTCA